GGCGATCGGTGGATTGGAGGGAGGTCAAATAACAGAAAGTTTCGAGCCCCAGAGGCGTATAGTCTCTCTTGGTAACGGAAAAGCCCTTTCAGCGTGTTAAACACGCCATCAATGTCTTCGATGAGGCTGAGGAATTCTCGATCAGTTGATAATCAAGATAGCAGGATGACGACCTCACGCGAGATCATTGATGCCAATCCAGGTCACTATCATAGATCAACGCAGATGCCGTCAGAAAGACAAAGTATGCGACTCAAGAGCACTCACTAAAGAGTGTGTCTTGTGGTTCCCATGGTGCTGATGATGGCTTCTTTGCGACATTCGGAAGGAACTGGTATATGATCTGTCTCTCCAGAGAAGAGACAAAGTCATTTCCCCTGGCATAGTCGTACACCAGCTTGGATGGACGCGATTTCACTAGATGTCCGACCCAGTTTGGCTTGCCAGGCTCTGTGTATGTTACCCCAGGATACGTCACTCCCAGGGGGCTCTTGACCGTCGGATTGGGAGAAGATTGGTAGTCCCAGCGAATGCTGCTATAGGAATCGCCACTGAATGGATCACATTAATCTTCGCTTAGTCGATATGCGGGGTGAGGACGTACAATATGATCAAATACTCGATCTTGCTGAACCCATGCCATGTTTTCCCCGCCTGAATGATAGTCGAAGGCATCCGAGTCGTTCAGTTGAACCGAGTCACTGTTAACGTTGTTCAAGAAGACAAGGAACAAATAATTCTCTTACCTGGCTATAAAGTATGGAGGATCCTCGTGTACTCCGCACTTTGGCGGCAGAAGTACTGCTCCACTAGCATGTTCCGACTTGACAGTTGAAGGGCTGGAGGTTCCCCATTCGGGATTCAAATAGAACCCCGGATTCTCCAACCCTAAGGCCTACTTACTCCCGTGGACTTCATGTCCAAGTTTTACTTTTAACCACAACCCAATTGGTGGAATGGAAGGAAAGGAGTCTCCTGAACGCGTAAATTCGCCGATTCCTTCTACGTCCAAAACGGCGTCTGGAGTATTCTCTTCTTTCCAGCCATACGCACGATCCAAGTTTAGTCCACTGCCCATATCACCATGTTGTTCTGGCACATTAACCTATTGATTCAATTTTGAAGGGGTCCTATCCTTGGTCTGGGGACATTATGTACGCGTTAAAAAGTTTTCTCTTCACATCATCACTATCTGATTTTTTTTGGAACGAACAGTTGCAGCTTCAGCCGTAGTTCCGTCCACTGTTGTTCGTCCAAATGTCTACTTTCCCCCATATCTCCACCGGGTCGGCTTCTCCCTGGTCTTTGGTGGAGCCGCGTACGTTCTAGCGGCTGGTGATGCAAGGAATGGCAGCGGTATAGCTACTGGTGAGTTCCAATATCACTCTCTGATTCACATATGATGTACATGCACTGCGACAGCTTGGTCATTGACATACCTCTTCTTGCATCTGCGACGGTCTCTAAGACCACCATTTTATCCAATCACACTCGCGATGACGACGGGCACAGCTGCATGTGCAGCTTTGTACGGCACAGAATACTTCATGTACCAGACCTAAGTCACGGTTTACCTTAATATTGGTCCTTCTGATCGTCCCTGGGCCGGGTACTCCTACCCCATGACAGGCAAGCATGTCTGTGGAGTTACTAAAATTATAAACATCTACCTCGTGTCGCCAAGAGGCCTGCCCGTGACCGTCAAGAGACAAGACCGACCACTCGGCGTCTTCCCCAACGCCTTCAACCCTTTTCGAATCATCAGGGAAGTACATTGGCAAATAGGAGATGCAATTTAGATGCTCGAGCTTGAGACGGAGAGCTTGAGGGAAACCTGAAATCACCCAATTCTCTGAGGGCGTCAGGGTGATTCGATGCAACGATCGCCCAAAAGATGGATTAATCGTGATTCCTCGGCTCTTGCGAGACAAGCTTTAGATCTTGCCCATCTTGGCTGCAGCTTCGACTTCAGTCTCGCAAAAATAAATCCGGATCATATGTCCTTGCCTGCACCCAGCAGCCATACACATCACTGCATGTGACGATCACAAAAAGTGACGAACTAGAACAAATTGAAATACTTTCAAAATCCCATCGGTGCAGAGATATTGAACGTCAAAACGTTCGCCGCAGTAGCACTCTCGAACCAGTGCCGGATGCCCGCAGCTAAACCAACTATGACCCGATGAGCTGTAAGCGTTACCTAGAATATCATATGTTGGATTGCGATGTGGTGAATCGAGCGAATTAGGGAAGTCATTCAATCACCGGCAGCATTCTAGTATTTGATATCGACGTGTATATGCGCTTTATGCCGTGGCGTTCATCACGAGACGCAACATGTTCTTAAGGTCTTTCCCGAAGTATGTGATGCTTGTGTGTGGCGTATGGTTTGAAGCTGGAATGGTCTTCTGCATACTGGTCTTTCAACACACGTGCACAATCTGTGCTCGAGTACTTTTGACGAGCGTATGTAACCTCGTATGAATCTAGCGGAATCTAAGTAGATAGCTGACAAAAGACATGAGATTTATAGTCGGTATGCTATTGATACAAAGACGAGAAATATTCCAAAGGCTGTAATGAGCATATCTGCTAAATGTTAATAGGACGACGCCTCCAATTCAAAATGAAATGCCCTCGAAACAGTGCTAAAAGCAAAAACATGAGTGTTCGTTTCCATGCTCTCCAGAGGTAACATTAATCGGCCTCGCTGTAGATTGTGGCTGTGAACCGGGGGTCGGTGAAGGAGGAGGAGAGACATGGTCTTCATCAGGGATCCAATCATCATTACGCTTGGGGGGAGCACCCGCTGCAGCGTTGCGCTGTAAGTGAATGTATGAGACCTGGGATATAGTGAAAAATTAACCGAGCACACCTCTTTACCCTGTGCAAGAGGAACATCGACGATAGGCAACCGGGCTGACAAGTGGCGTATGCGAGATTTGAAGGTAGTGGAAACAGCAGTAGAGGACTGAGAGGCAGGCGGTAGTCGTGCGGACCGAGACTGAAAATGTGATGACGATAGTGAACACTCGCATTCTCGCCAGGATCCGTATATGAACGCACCTGAGTCATGGTCTGCCCTGAGGGAGAGTAATTTGGGGGTAAGGGCAACGTAGCAGGGAACTACAAGGTGGGGGTCAAATCGACTGTGAAGGCAAGAGATAGAAGAAACATACGTCCAACGGATCGCGAGGTTCGTGGTTCCGAATAGGATGGAGTGCGTCCGCGCGGGAGGAGGAAGGGAGAAGTTTGCGAAGGTAGTGAAGGAAAGCAGGTCGCTGTGGGTCTTTTGTAGGTTTTGGCGGGATGCGGACGGGAAATTTGATGGGATTATGGCGCACAGGCGGCACGGCGCGGTGTAGATTGCGAGGCGTATTGATCTACAAGAACATATTAACGCACGAACGGATAGATATATGCGACTAGATGCATACATTTGGCTCTGCTTTTTGTGCAGGACATATGCTATCAAGGATGTTAGGTGGAATGTCGCATATGAAAATCCTGGACTTCATATCACACCAAGTCGTGTAAGCCAGTTGATGTGAGTTGGGTGAGAGGATAATGCAGTGCGGTTCCTGAACGGGGAATGAAGCGAGGAGCTGGCGGGACTCGAAAGTCCAGAGCTTGATGGTGTTGTCTTTGGAAGCGGTAGCGAGAAGAGCACCATCAGATGAAAGTGCTAGACCAGTCACAAGATGGGTATGCCCTTTGAAGGGGGCTCCGACAGTCTTCAGTGTCGACGCGTCGAATTTGTAAATCATCCTTGGAAAGTCGATGACATCTGAGTTCGGGTCGATGAAGGAGAATGCGGCTATGATGTTTCGGTCTTTTGCTGTCCAGAACACTGGCGCACGCGTCCACATCCCTCCGGTATTGATTGATTTCCCTACCCTGGCATCCAGTTTCTGTGTATGGACATCCCAAATGTCAAGGCGCTTCCCAAAATTTGACTTGACTGCCAGCTTCTTGGAGTCTTGCGAGAATCGAACAGCGCCCACTCCATCTTCAGATGCAAATGGACCAGACACGAGTTTGCCAGTACCCAAGCTCCATATCCGTATGGAATCATATGACCCGCTCGCCAGCAGAGTGCTGTCCGCGGAGATGTCGATGCAGTGATGTCCCTTGAGTGTCCTTCCAATATTTTAACAATCCCGGTCTCGACCTCGCACGCTCGGAGCTCCCCAAATTGACGCAAATTATCATTATTTCCACCAGCAGTGACGACCCATCGACCATCCCTTGATACCTCCACCGCATGCACACCCCCCTCACAAACACCCCGCGCCCTCACAATCTCTTTACCCACCTGTAGATCCCATTTCCGAGCAGTCTTGTCCCAAGATCCACTAATCATTTCTTGACCGTCTGGAAAGTAGGAAATGGATGAAACATGGTGTGTGACGCTCGATCCGTATTGCAGGTCGTGTCTCGAAGGTTTATGACCCTGCAACGTCATGACCGGTGGCAGGATCGGTTCGTTTGTTGCTTTGACGGGGTGTGTCGAGCTAGAAGCCATAACTGATCTCTTTAACGGCGAGGTTGACAAGTACTAGCGCGATTACGGGGCGGGGTTCGGGAAGGTTCCTCGTGTGTATTGACTAGCTATGTGAAGTCTGACTTGTTCGAGAGCTCCAGCACTTTCCCTGCTAAGATCCATCGTCAATTCATGATTGATAGGCATACGTACGCCACATCTTATATATATCCTTCCTCGTGTGCATTACACTTTATGTAATTCATCAGACAGTGTATTCATATCGACGTCAATGCCTGATATTTGAATGTTAACTTCCATGGAAACATTGCGTTTGTATCGATACCACTTTGATCACCTTCAGTTTTATTCTTGATGAATGGGCCCTCTTCCAGCAACGTTAACGATTACCGCGAAGCTTTATCGCTGCTAAGACGTGTTGTTCAGTCCAATAAACATCAATACTCCCAAATTGATCTCGGCAATGTCAACGAAAGTGCTCCCGGAGTCCGGACCCTTGCTTTGACCGCGGACTTTTATGACTCAATCTATTGTTCTCTGGGTACAAGCATGCATCGTGCATTTAAGCTGTGGACGCTTCCACAGAAGCCACAGTACGCGAACAAATTTAAAGCACGACAGTTCCTCCTCGTCGTTTATTTCAAGCAGATCCCCAACTTGACACAGTACCACATCTTTTCATCACAGTACCCGCGGTTAAAAGACTACACCGCGTAAAATGAACGAAGGAATCCTTCCTCATGGTGCCCACTCATCCAACAACCTAACCCCAGCTCCAAGTCAAGGAGAACTTTTCATGGATGAAACCACACTCGGCAAGCTATCTCGTGCACAACTACAGAAGGTAGCTAAGGTATGTCTCACGTTTCTTGTCCTCAGCACTAGCCACTGACATGACAACAGGCTCGTGGAGTAAAAGCGAACATGAAGAGCGCGGTAATCATTAGAGAGTTAGTCAGACTCAGCAAGGTTGTTCCCCTGCTGTACGTGCCCTACTTCATCTTCGATGCTATAATGGTCCTAACGGTCGTCCAGTCAGGATGAAGAGAGCCAAGAGCCACCGAGGAAGAAATCAAGAACGATGGAGGAGGGGTGTCCAGCTGCCGGTCCTTCAACGCGAACCATAGATTTACCTATAGATGCAAGTTGTGAGTGTCGTACCTCACATCGCAGTACAAGAAACCTAACCCTTTACCAGTTGATCCTCCCATTATCAAGGAAGATCACCCTACACCCATCCTGATTCTGGCGGAAGAAAACAAGACGCCTACAAAAGCAACTGGACACACTGGTGTCATCTCTACCGACAATCTAACGAGAAAATCGCCAAGTCTTTCCCCGTTAGTGGCAAGTCCCAATGAGCACCCAGCTACGGATGATGGCTCCAGTGATTCGGATGGTTCCTACCTATCCTACGCAAGTCCCAGTCGACAGCGATCCCCTGTCAGCTCGCGTGCAGGAACACCTCCTCCCGAAGAACCACAACTGCTCAGCCGGGCTGTGGACATCATGAAACAGATCACGGCCGACGATCAACGCATTCTCGTCCAGGCCGCCGCTCTCCGCCAGAGAGCGGCGGGGCTGAAAGAGCAGGCGAGGAAAGTGCGGGACGTCTTGCGTATCGAGCAGGGACGTCGTGTGAGATTGGAGGCCTACTTCACGTACTGGAGAGAGATCACACCTGAATGGCCAAAAGATTGGATCTACGAAGAAGGCGAGGAGGATCTGATCCGGACAGAGCGAGTGCTGAGGACTATGACACCATCGTATGTGCCCCGCTGTCCTTAAGTTACTCATGTTTCTTACCACTTCGTTGATAGGCTACCATCGACAGGCCCGACAGGTCCACCTACTTTGTCTTTTGACGGACGGGACGCACTGTGAGTTCTCGTTTGCATTTCGCTTGCCCAACTCAGCTGATGACGACTATCAGGAACTCTCATAGGGAGTTGAGACGCCGTCAACTTCAGCCACGACATATAGGTCATGAGGAGAAGAACGGGGCGGCTGCCCCTCCTGCAGAAGTCGAGCAAGCAGATAAACATGCCAATCACCTGCCTTCTCCACAGTTTACAACCAAAGGAAGACCGGCAAAACGAAAACAGTGTACTTGAATCGTTGACGATTATGTTACTTTACCCTCAGTCATGGTATATCCTGTTATAATGCGTATCACTCACAAGTTCGTGTAATTGTTATACCTCGCCAATTAAAATCAATGATGACGCCTGCCTGTCCATCTGTCGCTGTACCCTGGAGGACCAATTGCAACTTGCGTTCCAGTCTAACTCGTGCTATATAACATGTTCAGCGGTCAGAAGGATGGATATCATACCAATGAATTCAGCCACAAGGTCACACCGGTGATGAACCATAGATGATGCTCATAATTGGGTCATGGCTGACCCACTCGGTACTTATGCATGGCGGTGAATACGTAGTATCAGTGTCAAAGCGTTAGGAAAGCAAGCGAGTTGTGCCGAGAGACTTCTGACTGGCAAAGCGAGACCGTCTGTGAGCTATTTGAAGCTGATTTTCATTCGACTTATATATACATTTCTGGAGGCACTAGAGAAACAAAGGGAGGACTTGTGACAAAGGCAGTCTCCCGTAGCAATAATGGGATAATGGGAACCAAGAAACAAAGGGAAGACCATCACCCGGGCCGTGAACCGCACATATGTCGGAGTCGTGCAGAGGACTTGCAGGATGATGCAGCGGTCCATAACCGCAAGTGCTCATTATCCCCTCATTGCACAATGAAATACTAACTTGAGATGATCGCTGACACCCATCTCCATTATTAATCTTTTCCAAAAAAAACATGTATTGTTCTCCATGCATCCTGACAATATGGGCGCTTGAAACACGCGCCACACGCAGGAAGAAACACGTTAGATTGCTTATGGCCTTCATCCAGCTTCACCGAGACTTCTTAGCGATGTAGACGCTTTATCCGTCGTCCAAGCCCACGCCAGGCAGACAATGTGATTCTACACAAATTTATCCCCAAGTCAAATCAAACGTCAAGTCAAGGTCGCACTCACCGAAATCCCACTAGCGTGCGGCAGTATCATCTTTCACGAAATCTGCGAGGCGATTCATGATACTGGCTCCTCGTCGGGTCTGATTAGATGGTACGTCTCTTACCTTGACCCTTCCCTCGCGTGTGCCCTTGACATGATGTGATAATTATTTAAGGTACTATGACTCTGAGGAAACGAAGTGAGGGCAAAGGGTGTCACGCTGGTGGAACCAAAAATTGAAGACTCACATGTCCCAAATTTCACCAAATTTCGAGTGCAAAGCGAGATTATATTAAAACGGCACAACTCTCATATGTCATGTAGTATCCTTGGAATCGACTGGCTGGCCGGGCTCAATACTACCACCAGTAGCATTTATCCTTCCGTGAGCCCAAGTACGATAGCAGTACAACTGGATGAGTATCCTGTATCGAGCGTCAAGGTACAATGAAAACTTAGCGACGTCTGTTCTTCAAAATGCTGTTTATCTTCATGTGTTTGTTGTGCGCGAAACAGAAGCGATGGCTTTGATTGTGCAACTGTATGGCGATCTGAGACGATCCTTTTGTTTCCTTGATTTCTGAACTAGTAAAAATCCGCTGAAAGGCTGTCCAAAATGCAAGATCAGTCGTGATACTTATAATTGAGACTCGGAAGCAACCACCCCATTGCCTCCAGGAAAATGACGAAGCGAATCGACAAATGAGCTCAAAGTCGTCTAAGGCGAGAGATCTGTGTTATCTCCACACGCGTACAATATATCTGAGAGATTATGTGCGCCTGCCATGCTGATGCTGGTAAGTTGAGCTGTTGATAGTTTGTTGGGAACAAAATACCAGCACATCATCATACCAGCACGCCAGCACTTGTGTTAGTTTACTAGGTGCGACCGGATGGGCAAATCTGCGCAGAAACACGTGTCTCTGTTCAAATAAGCTTTTGAAATGTAAGGACAAGGGAAACACTCACTGTGCATCCTCGCTCATAGCACGACCCATATCTCATGTTCCTTCTGAGTCCTCTTATCCCACACGCGAACGTCCGCGCCGTTTCTCGCCACTGATGAAACACGGCGCATTCACCCTCTGCATTGCGTTTGATCCTTCCGGGAATGCGTGCAGGGAGATGATGGCGAGGCGTATGTGTACGGAAGGGGCGATGTTGTCTGGCGTGGGTTTGGTGCAGACTACGAAAGGCTGGACTGTCATCGTGAAGCTAGAGTGAATTTGATTTGGGTCTGTCCTGTGATGGCGCTGGTTGTAGAGTCGCATAAAAGTGAAATGCGTTCGATATTGAGATGGTAATGTCCTTCGTGGGCGAGTTCAATAGTAGGTGGGGATGCGATGGTAATTCCCGCCCATGGGAGAGCGGATGTTTGAACGATTACACGAGAGTTTCCTCTCTCGTCGAGCTGGTTGACCATAGTAAAAGAGGTGAGAATGTGGGTTTCGGTAGCCATGAGACGCCTCGGGTATGTCTCCTGCGCGCAAGTTATGTAAGTCGAATTTGGGGTCATGATGAGACGCGTACAACGTCCAAGTATGTACGATGATAGAGGTTTGTATAAGCTAGACAAAGTCTCAGCGGACGTGAACACTGCACACGAGCAAGATGTTAAATATAAAATGACGGAGGATTCGAGACGGAAAGAAGCCACCGGTGACAACGACAGGTGAGACAGCGTATGGTGCCGAAGCCGACACGATGCGATAAGGAAGTAGAAAAAGGAAAAGAAGACAAAAGAGTCACGGAGGCTGATCCTCCGGGACTGGTACCATGCGTACGTATCCGAGTCGTATCATCCAACAAGGTTGGTAACGGAAAGTGGTACAGGACGCGGGTGCAAGTATCGACACGCTGTTGCGAACGCTCTCCATGACATTAATGGCGTGCATGATACATCCTCCGTCTGCTGCCTTAGAAGTCGTGCCTTTAAACGACAGTATCTGAGCGCCACCAGCATGGAATAAGACGTGGCCCACGCAGTCCGTACTCAAGATCGTTGCACAGGATATCGGGGCCGCTGATGTATGGGATAACCCAGCCACCACTTCTCAATGGTCTCCTTGCAAGGAGGACCACTCGAGCTCACCCCAGAAGCTATCGTTAGAGCTTGCTTGCTCCACTTTACGTCGACTTAGGTGCTTTTGACGAGGGTGGTTTCTAAGAACTCATAAGACTGAGATTCGAGTAGTCCGAGGGGGCGAGGAAGTTTCGTATGGACAGGTCAGCAGATGGAGGCGAACAAGTAGTAAATTCGTAATTCAAATTCAATCGGCAAGCTGCGAGAGTCCTTCAACAACTCGCATTGGTTCAAGTTGCATCAGATACTGCTATGATCTTGATCATGTTTGGTGCGCGAATGCAAACACTTGACAGTATTATTCATTCATTGTGAGCCTTGATTCATCGCCGTGCTTTGGTGTTGCCACAGGTAAGTCGGCGCCCGCCCGCCGATGTCACTGATCTGCGTCAACACTGGATGGACCTATACTAGAATCCCGGAGTCCAGACAGCGACTGCAACAGCCGAGCTTCTCGAACGACAGAATATCAACATCAAAACCCACGGGAAACACCTAACAATATCTGTACATTTGAAGCGCTCAGAGAACCACAAAAAGGGCGGATATACGGTACAGCAACATTCTTATGGAAAGTCTTCTAGGTCATCATTGGTGATTGCATCATCCAGGCTGAATATTTTCATGCGAAGATAGAGGACGCGATGGTTACCGTGCGCTTCATCGCGTGAAGATGTGGTGCTATCTGCATGTTGCGACATCTGACTGTTTTGGATTTGTATCTTTGGCACTCTGTGAAGGTGGAATAAGTATTCTAAAGCGACGGTGTGTCTGTACGATGGCTATGCATGTGCAAGCATCCGACTACGATGCGACTTTCGTAGCCTGCCCATGAACTTGCTGAGCATGATGAAGGTCAGACAATGGTGTTCTTGGTTTATCTGATGGATCTCGCTTTCAGCTCGCGACCTTTACCGGCTCCTGCTGAAGTCGGCACTGCAAACATCACTGAAATACAATGGCCACTGACCGAGGCTGTACAATCAGAAATCGGGCTTTGTTACCTGTTGCAGGCTTCTCGTCTCCCATGTGCGATTTCTCTTTCGACCGAGTATGTACGGCGTCTTACATTTAACAGGTATCAATCACACAGCATGAGCCATGATGTATCTGCCAGTGCAATGCATCACTGTCGCATCAAGTGCACCATCGAATCCACCGAATAAAGTGCGCTGTTGTTGTTTTCTGACTTTTGCTATACTACAGAATGCGACCTTGTTACAGAAAGAAATCAGGGGAGCCTACAGCAAGTCTCGAGCTTGGCCAGCGGAGGTAAGAGAACACAGATGCTCATTGCGATCACATCATCGTTAGATCGATGGCCACATGGTTTCATACTGGAAAATGGCATTGGAAATAAGTTTGCGATATCACTAACCACAGAAATTTTTCTGGTGTCCGAGTAGTCGCGTGCGCAATACCGGTTTGTAAATCAAATTCTACTTTGATCATCTAGGGCTTATTTTTGTCTGATTTCGAACCGTTTCACTTGATCAAGGGTCTGGAGGCAGGATCAAATATACATCTCCATCATACTGATTTTGGAGATAGAAATGCTGAACGGTGGTATATCTAACACGAACGCTGTCGTTATACACTAACCTTCCCCACTCGCTCATACCAATCCCTCGAACATGACATACATCTCAAACGATCCCAGTTACTGGCCATATATCAGTGAAACTATTTTTATAAATTATTGGATAGGTTCGTCGCATTAAGATGTCTAGATCCAACGTTGACTTGCGTTTTTGCAGTTGCTGCTGGCATCGTGGTGGCATATGATTGGGGTGAGCAGGACAGTGTTCGAAAGTCGCTGATATTCTCATGGTATTTCCAGTCCTAACACTTGGACAAGAGGTACGTCGATGATGTTATCGGAGCAGCCATCTCACTGAGAATGGTATCTTAGGTTGAACTCATCTGGGTGAGTGACAAGAGTCCCGTATCAGAAGAAAACAAGAGCATGCACTGAATTCATGACAGAGACAACGTTGGTCTCCTATGACCGTGCTGTATTTGATTGTTCGTACTCATGTTGTGCTTTCGTGTGGTGGGCAACTTGTGCTGACTTCAAAATATTCTAGATACGCTATATTGGAATACCATATTCTGTGTATGTGTCAAGATCAACAACTTTGCACGGTGCTAATAACTCATCTCTGACAACTAGTGCCAGTGTTCTGGGTATGTCTCATAAGCGCTGTATTTCATTTTTCTGACCGGCGAGACACAGAAACTACTCCATCGGTATCGCTGACAGACGCAGTAAGTATCCTGCAACCATCTCATTGCCATCTAATCAATACACTCATATGTAGGGGTGAGTGAGATTCCAAGCATTGAACTTGGCTCAACATAATGACTCAATAGGTGTAAGTCGGAATTTTTGATACTAATGCGAGGGTGTTCACTAATTGGGAGTCTTTAGGCACTACGGCGTTCTACGTAGTAAATGTGACAAATGTGGCCTTGACTGCCACGTTGGGTGGTAAGTGACCCAGGTGCAATACCTCTGTGATATGGACCTGACTGACATGATGCAAGTCGTCATGATTGCTCGGTTGTACGCTATGTATCAAGGGTCTAGAGCGATGCTTATGTTCCTTGTTATTATCTTCCTGGCTGTAAACATCGCCTGCGGAGTAATCGTGGCAATGGCACTGAACGTTGATGTAGCAGGTAAGCTTTACTTGTTAACTTGAAGAACACGGTTTATTGGACAAACACCAGAGGAGACGATACTCTCTGGTATACATATGTGCGGCCTTGACTATGAAGGGGACGAGCAGCTTCTCGCTTCGATCATTTGGATACTCACCACTGTTTGGGAGGTCCTCACATTATGTCTTTCAGTTTGGATTGCTGTGAAACACTTCCGTGAGCTGCGACGACTCGGCCCATCGACAGGATCGACCATCGGGGACTGTTTCAGAGTGCTGATACAATCTCACGTTCTTTATTTTGCAAGGTGAGCTTGTAATGTGAATGCGGTTATATTTTTCTGCTCAAGTTTCGCACATGTTAGCTTTGTTGGTGTCTCTTGCCTCGCGCTTGTCGATCTCTCTCCAGAAATCTTGGTGCGCTGACCTGTCACCAACATCTGCGTGTAACCACTGCTCATCATTTCTGTAGACTTCGAGTTCAATTGGAGCTCTAATACTCTTTGGTGCTGAACAAATTTTATCGGTCGTGCAGATGTTTGTGCTGGGACCACGCCTCATCCTTAGCGTTCGAGAATACAACGCGAAACTCGTGGCATCCTCCGACGCAGAAACTAGCATGAATTCTATTGTTTTCCAAGAGCATGTACATGTATCAACTAGCAGTACAGTGTAGGGAAATGCTTGCCGAGTGGTCTGCAGGGAGGAGAAATTTGGTGGAGGATCCGTCGTGGTATTTATTCAACATATTGTGTTTCGAAATGTATTTGAAAGGTCTGGGCAAAGCTATTTATTGTTGTGTCACTACTGGAACGAAGCACCCACGCTTGAGCTATGTGGCAAGGTGAAATTGTCCGGAACGACTAGCAACCAAACTGGTCCTTGATGACTGATGAACAAGAATCAGTCTGGACAGCTGATTCTGCGCGTTGGTGTTCCAATGTCTGGATATATATATACTGCGAATTGTGAAGCCAGATAGCTGATAACCCGGCGGTGCTCAGCTCTAAGATGTGATTTCCTCCATGCGATGGACCACGGAGAATGAAATGAATGGATCACGTAGTAGACTCGCGGCTCGACTGTACGTCTCTCTCGCGAATGAGCCTGACAAGGATATGGGGTCTGCTGAGTGATGAGTGGAGAATAAGGAAATCGGAGGCGTACCTATCAAACTACTGACGAGGCATCGACTGCGATATTCTATCGGAACCCTCGCTAAGCACGACCATCAGAATAAAGCACCGAACGAGATACAGGCGTGGATCACAGTCTTAGGGCAAGCAAATGATCACTTGAAAGAAGTATCTGATAGAATGTGGGAACGGGGAAATTCGAAGATATTCTGCAGGAACGTTGAAGGGTACCGTGATGTCTCGTACGTGAGCTGTTGCGACGACTAATAGAGAAAACGACTTATGGGTGCTGGTGACCGGTGATATTTTATATATCGCATGAATCAACGCAGGATGAGAATAAAGTTCCGGAGAGCGGCCATCCCAAGTACTGTCGATGGAGATGCGAGAGTATGTCACGAATGTGTGTGGCAAGAACACCATACGTAGTGAGTGGTGAGAAGAGAAGAAATTCGGGGCTTCAAGGCAGAAGGCACAAGCGCACCTGCAAAAGTATCAGTGAGACGCCGATCATGAAATTTTAGGACCCTGGTATACATACTTTGATCAGAGTTACACCGGTCACAATCATGTGTCAGATGTGCATTAGGACTCTTGCAACGATCTGTTTCAATCCTGCCAAATAGCATGACTGTCATGGTAACGCACCGAGCGAGATGCATACATACAATACACCCGCTGATATTAATCAGAGTCACCCTAGTACGAAGAGATAACCATCAGACAGTATTCAATTCACTTCGAGAGGTCGTTATCTGCTCGCCCAGGTAGTACATAAGCGGCATGTCTGGATCTGAGCTTGACAGTTGATAGGCTACGTTCCACACTTGCGAAAATTACCGTCTGTCAGCTATTTGAACACAAAGACTGACAGCAGAAGATGAGCGCACGATCTATGGAAGCTCGAATGGCTTGCGACGCAATGGCTCTGTCGCATCTATTATCCGTCTGAGCCGTTCGGGTGGGGCGCGATGCGACTATTCCATGGACCAAGGAAAGTAGAAGTAGCGTGTCCGAGCTCAGACGACTGATCATCCGAGAATTTGACACATTTATGAATGCCCTGGATTACCATATATCCGAGCACGAAGCAAGAAGAACAAAAAGAACCAAGAACTGGCAGTGATTGCAGAATCGTGCGTTGGGCATATACGGCCTGTCGAACTCTTACTAGTAGCATGTCCGTTAGTGTAGATTGTCGAATGAGGCTATGATATACGTACATCAATACAATTCGTGGTGAAGTTGGAGTAGCGTGTCGAAGCCCAGGCAGCTGATAAAGAAGATATCACGAAGGCAACTGATCATTTGAATGAGCCCAAATAATCCATAAAAGCCAGATGGCCGATGACACCATGACATTGAAGCGGTTATCACAGCATGGCCTCATCAGTCACCTGGACGAACAGACAGAGAGTGAAGGGCTGGAAAAAGAAAAGGGAAAGTAGTAGCGTGTCTGTGACAAGGAAGTTGATAGAAGAAGAAAAAACTCACTATGATGTATCCGAGCTCAAAAAAGGGTGGCCTCCAGAAGGGTAGTAGAATGTTTCTGAGCACGAGGAAGAACGTCTCTGGAGGATCTGTCACAGGAGTAACACTTCAGTCTCGTATATATGCTTGAGTGCTATGTAGGCAGACCAAATACGATAGTTGTTCATTCTAGCTTCGATGGCATAGTGCCTGTCCGTCGAGCTTCACGCGGCGCAGGTCAATTCCCAGGATCTCATCTTCCATGAGCGATGCGAGTGAGGCAACAAGAGTGTGTGAGTTCTGGATCCGAACAGCATTGCTTGCAGAAGGTACTGTAAGCACAATTCTATTACAGCAGTTGCTTGGTTCATTTTTTGACTCCGCAAACGCCGAAGGTAGCGCCGCAAGTTGGCCACAAGCTTTGATTAAATTTTAGATAAGCTTCAACGCTGGCCGCGAACACATGGAGACCCGCCTCTTCATGGGAAACACCCAACCATATCTATGCATTTGAAACGCTCGGAGAACCACAAAAAGGGCGGACATACGGTACAGCAACATTTTTATGGCAAGTCTTCTAGGTTATGGCGATTGCATAGTCCAGGCAGAGCATTTCCATGCGAAGATGGAGAATGGAATATCGTGTGAAGATGCGATCCTATCTGCATGTTGCGACATGTGACTACTTCGAATTGTATTGTTGGCACCTCATGAAGGTGGAATAAGCAACGATCAGTGTCTGTACGGTTGCTGTGCATGTACAAGCATCAGACTACCATGCGACTTTCGTAGCCTGTCCATGAAATTGCTGAGCATGATCATCGAAGGTTTGATAATGGCGTTCTTTGCTCATCTGATGGACCTCGCTTTTAGCTCGCAACATTTACCGGCTCTTGCTCAAGTCGCCGCCACTACAAAACATCCCTAAAATACAATGGCCACTGACTAAGGCTGTACAATCAGAAATCAGGCTTTTTGCCTGTTACAGGCTTCTCGTCTCCCATGTGCGATTTCTCTTTCGACCTAGTATGTATGGCGTCTTACATTTAACAGGTATCAGTCACACAGCATGAGTTACGATGTATCCGCCAGTGCAATGAATCACCGTCGCATCAAGTGCGCGATCGGATGATTCGGATCCACCGAATAGAGTGCGCTGTTGTGTTTGTTCTCTGACTTTTGCCATACTACAGAGTGCGACCTTGTTACAGGAAGCAATCAGCTGACAGCAAGTCTAGAGCTTGGCCAGCGAAGCTAGGAGAACACAGATGCTCATCATGATTGCGATCACATCATGGTTAGATCGATGGCCACATGGTTTCATACTGGAAAATGGCATTGGAAATAAGTTTGCGATATCACTAACCACTGGAATTTCTCCGGTGTCCGAGTGTCGCATGCGCAATACTGGTTTGTAAATCAAATTTTACTTTGATTATCTAGGGCTTATTTTTGTCTGATTTCGAACCGTTTCACCTGATCAAGGGTCTTGAGGCAGGATCAAATATACATCTCCATTATACTCATTTTGGAGATGGAAACGCTGAACGGTGGTATATCTAGCACGAACGCTGTCGTTATACACTAACCTTCCCCACTCACTCATACCCATCACTCGAACATGACCTACGTCTCAAATGATCCAAGTTACTGGCCATATATCAGTGCATCTATTTTTTATAATTATTGGATGGGTCCGTCGCATTAAGATGTCTAGATCCAACGTTGACTTGCGTTTTTGCAGTTGCTGCTGGCATCGTGGTGGCATATGATTGGGGTGAGCAGGACAGTGTTCGAAAGTCGCTGATATTCTCATGGTATTTCCAGTCTTAACAGTCGGACAAGAGGTACGTCGACGTTATCGCCGCCGCAGCCATCTCACTGAGAATGGTGTCTTAGATTGAACTCATCTGGGTGAGTGACAAGAGTCCCGTATCAGAAGAAAACAAGAGCATGCACTGAATTTATGACAGAGACAACGTTGGTCTCTGATGACCGTGCTGTATTTGATTGTTCGTACTCATGTGCTTTAGTGTGGTGGGCAACTTGTGCTGACTTCAAAATGTTCTAGATACGCTATATTGGAATACCATATTCTGTGTATGTGTCAAGATCAACAACTTTGCACTGTGCTAATAGCCCATCTCTTACAACTAGCTTCAACATTCTGCGTATGTCTCATATGCGCCGTATTTCATTTTCCTGACCGGCGAGACACAGATTCTATGCCATCGGTATCGCTGACAGATGCAGTAAGTATTCTGCAACCATCTCATTGCCATCCAACCAATACGCTCATATGTAGGGGTGAGTGAGATTCCAAGCATTGAACTTGACTCAACATAATGACTCAATAGGTGTAAGTCGGAATCTTTGGTACTAATGCGAGGGTGTTCACTAATTGGGAGTCTTTAGGCGCTATGACGTTCTACGTAGGCAATGCGACAAATGTGGCCTTGAGTGCCATGTTGGGCGGTAAGTGACCCAGGTGCAATACCTCTGTGATATGGACCTGACTGACACATGATGCAAGTCATCATGATTGCTCGGTTGCATGCCATGTATCAAGGGTCTAGAGCAATGCTTATGTTCCTTGTTATTATCTTCCTGGCTGTAAACATTGCCTGCGGAGTAATCGCGGCAATAGCACTCAACGATGGTGTAGCAGGTAAGCTTTACTTGTTGATTTGAAGAACACGGCTCATTGGACAAACACCAGCGGAGTTGATACTCTCTGGTATACATATGTGCTACTATGAATATGGAGGGGACGAGGGGCTTTTGTCTTCGATCATTTGGATACTCAACACTGTTTGGGAGGTCCTCGCACTGTGCCTTTCAGTTTGGATTGCCGTGAAACACTTCCGTGAGCTGCGACGACTCGGCCCATCGACAGGATCGGCCATCGGGGACTGTTTCAGAGTGCTGGTACAATCTCACGTTCTTTATTTTGCAAGGTGAGCTTGCAATGTGAACGCGGTTATATTTTTCTGCTCAAGTTTCGCACATGTTAGCTTTGTTGGTGTCTCTTGCCTCCAGCTTGTTGATCTCTCTCCAGAAATCGCGGTGCGTTGACCTGTCACCAACATCTGCGTGTAACCACTGCTAATCAGTTCTATAGAATTCGACTTCTAATGGAGCTCAGATACTCTTTGGTACTCTTGAAATTTTATTGGTCGTGCAGATGTTTGTGCTGGGACCACGCCTTATTCTTAGCGTTCGACGATATCATGCCAAACTCGTGGCATCCTCCGACGCAGAAACTAGCATGAATTCTATTGTTTTCCAGGAGCATGTACATGTATCAACTAGCAGTACTGTGTAGGGAAATGCTTTCCGAGGGGTCTGCAGGGAGGAGAAATTTGGTCAAGGATCCGTCGTGGTATTTATTTAACATATGGTGTTTCGAATTATATTTAAAAAGTGCAGGCAAACCTATTTCTTGTTGTGTCACTACTGGAACGAAGCACCCGCGTTTGAACTAAGTGGTAAGGTGAAATTGTCCGGAACGACTAGCAACCAAACTGGTCCTTGATGACTGATGTTAAAATACAACGAGAATCAGTAAAAGTGCCTGGACAGCTGATTCTGCGCGTTGGTGTTCCAGTGCACTGTCTGGACATATAGATACTGCGAATCGTGAAGCCAGATAGCTGATAACTCGGCGGTGCTCAGCGCTAAGATGCGATTTCCTCCATGCGATGGGCCACGGTGAATGAAATGAATGGATCACGTAGACTCGTGACTCGACTGTACGTCTCTCTCGCGAATGAGCCTGACAAGGATATGGGGTCTGCTGAGTGATGAGGGGAGAATAAGGAAATCGTAGGCGTACCTATCAAACTACTGATGAGGCATCGACTGCGATATTCTATTGGAACCCTCGCTAAGCACGACCATCAGACTCGGAGTAAAGCACCGAACGAGATACAGACATGGATCACAGTCCTAGGGCAAGCAAATGATCACTTGAAAGAAGTATCTGATAGAATGTGGGAAACGGAGAAATTTGAAGATATTCTGCAGGAGCGTTGAAGGGTACCGTGATTTCTCGTACGTGAGCTGTTGCGACGACTCATAGAGAAAACGACTTATGGGTGCTGGTGACCAGTGATATATTTATATATCGCACGAATCAACGCAGGATGAGAATGAAGTTCCGGAGAGCGGCCATCCCAAGCATTACTATCGATGAGGATGCGAGGTGTATCAATGGAAGCATGGATGATTTGTCGGAGTTTGAAGAGACAAAGTGTAGAAGGACGCTCCATTTGACTCGGAACTGCAACTCACCCCTCACTGCACAAATCACTTTGAAAACATTGCCAACTCACCCGTCTCCACTATGAATTCCACATGAAGTGTTCAAAAAAGTGTTAGCGGTCCCAAGGTGTGATATCAGTCGGCTCAATGACTATTCTATCCACATGTGGTAGTCCAGCAGAGAATGTTCGTCTGATAGGCGCCCATGCTGATATATAAACATAGTTCAGTCCGCTCAGAGGAGATATAAACGGAACGCACTTGAATTTCTCCTCAACTTTCATCCCTCGTGCTCCATCAATTCCCGGCCTCCGTCCTTGCGAAGTTTAAACTGGTTTTTATCTTCGTCAAGTTGCAGGACGTGGACAAGGCTATATTCTCGGAAGCGAACCTTGTAGTATCTCCGAGGTTGATTGGTGCGTCGAGTTTTCATAGGGACGGGCGCAGGTGTTGACTCGGTGACGGTAAGCATCTGCAAGGTGGTCAAGATGGCACTCGACTATGTTAATCGCCATATTCACCTGAGCTTTGATGTTGCCGCGCTCGGCCCAACTGCTGCACCTAACGCGGACAGTAAGCATTTTGATTTTGATTTTGATTCTTATCCTTGATACTCAGTGCTGCATCGGGATGGAGTCAGTCATGTGTTTGCACGCTTTTGATGACGTAGTGTGCGCCGAAATACCTTCTGATGGAAATGTGTTTTGAAGGTCACGATTATTCACCACGTACTGAGTCTGATACTGCTGACACTCACTACACGCGGGCACAGCACGTTGTCTTATGCAGATCGTTTATCCCGTTCCATTGGGACTTGAAATTACAAAGACTTCGGTCTGTTGTAAGAATGTCCACGACGGGTAGACGATGTCTTCCCACGTCGATCTATTCCAAGTGAAATAGAATGTGAAGTTAATAATCAGCACTCACCAAAATCCCGCAGGTGCGTGGTGGCCTTACAGGACATCTGTGAGGCGATCCATGAGACTGGCGTATTTGACTTAACGGTACGTCTATTACTTTCGCTCACATAGTCCCTTGACGTCTGACATGTTCCTCGGACGCAGATAACTTGTGGATGTGGTGAGCATACGCGAGACTGTAACACGAGGTGCTCACTGAAGGACCCATTATTTCGTGAGAGGAGAGAGTGGTTGCATGAGTTTCTAAGGTGTGGAATTCGCATTCAATGTCCTGGTGGAGTGTGCCCGACAACCCTGAGACGCGGCCTTCTATCGGTGGTTGGCCATATACCTACATCGTTAGGTCTGTCGATAACGTCTGGAGCGCATACACGAAGAACATACTCAGCCAAAGGGAGAATACCCTCGATTCAATAATATTTAACGTACCGTGTTCAACGATTATGAATAAATACGCATTTAAACATATCCACAGTCGCGTCGGGGAATATCCGGGTGGCCCGGGTGTTATACTATTGTCGGAATCAAGGTCAGTGGATGCATTGCTTTGCATCTGTGTTGCTTGGCCCGGGATAACAATTTGTTGACCACAACGCAACAAAGGGACGCGTTAAGACTAAGCGCAACGGGTTCATCCGCCAGCAGTGGTTGCTTCAACAGTTAAAATACTGCAACTTGCATTTCTTTCCTCCTGTTCAACATCCATCGCATTTTGCCTTCCGCATCTACCATCTAACTTGTGTACTGTGAGTTACTCTTGTATACGTACTTCACCTTCTGTCGCTCACCTTGTCCTGCCACAGGCTGGAGCATTACGCCATACACACTTCATCTCAACTATTCTAGATAATTAAATATGTACCAGGAACAGATTCAAACGGGCCAAATGCCAGTCCAAGGCCCGCCTCAACATCCTTACCCCCAAATGTACCAGCAGGCTCAAACGGGCCAAATGCCAGTCCCAGTCCCAGGCCCGCCTCAACCTGGGTTTCATCCATACCCCCTAATGATGCCCCGGCCTCCACTTGTGCCCTCGCGGTTCAGGCCTTACCCCCCGGAGGTCTACGTATATTGTTATCAACAATATTTACATGCAACTGGCCAAGTCCCCGGACCGCCAAACCTAGTCCCTCCCCCTCCCCCTCCCCCTCATCCACACCATTTGGGTGGGTATCCCCCTGCCTTCCAGGGTATGGGTGTACCGCCAGCGGCTGCGCCGCTTCAACATCCTTCCGCATCCCCCTCGGCACAACCTTCCCACCACACGCATTTGGAGCAAGGACCGGAGGAACAAGCACCAGTAGCTGACGCTGAGGAGAGCGCTGTCAAGCGCGGAAAGCGCAAGGCGGTGGACTTGGATGACGATGAGGCTCCCCCACGAAAGAAGCAAACGATCCACCCCCTTGTTGACTACCCCGATTTCGTGAGTCCATTTTGTATTTATTTCTAATTATCATGCTGACTATTTTTTCATCAGGAACTGGTACAAAACAACGGCGAGGTCCGTTACAAGTGCTGCCTGTCGCAGTGCGAAAATGTGCCTGCAGTGCCACGCGCTGGCATAGAAGATCATATCAAGTGGAAGAGGCACCCGCAGGTCAGGTCTCGGTCCCCATCCCTAGAGTATGTCGAGGCGTAAGTACTACGAGGCCTTTAAATGTGACTTTGGAGCTGATATATGAATCTTTGCTAGTGTAAATGACGGGGACTTTTCGAGAACAGGCGACTCTTGTTCCAACGACCAGCAAGAGACTTACGGGATATCTCAAGGAACTTGCAAAGGTTTGACTTCGAACCAGCCGTTTAAATTTTTTTCTAACAGTTTCGAAGACACTACCGATTTGACTTCGAGCGAGTCGTTGGAAAAGTCCGACAACGGTCTTGACGAGACTACGGATTCGGGTTGGGACGAGGGGTTCAACGACTTTTTCGACATTGAAGCAGCTTGTGAACCAGTTTCTGGCGAGCAGATCGAAGAGTCTGTCAACAATCCTGAAGAAGCCATCGATTTGGCTTCGGGCTCGCTTGACGATGATCTTTATGGAATTGTCGATTCAGCTTCGGACGAGCAGTTGGACGAGTTTACCGACAGCCTGGAGAAGAGTCTTGAAGAAACTGTCGATTCGGCTTCGGACGAGCAGTTGGAAGAGTCTACCGACAGCCCGGAAAAGAGTGGTGTTCACCCAATGGACAATATGACATCGGAAGAGTTGCTTGAATATTGTATCAACCATCTTGATGAAACTTACAACTTCACCTAGGCTCTGGGTGAGTCATTGTATGATATGTTACATTATTTGTTTTTTTTCTAGGTATTTTGAATCGTTGCAGCTTCACCCTTACTATATATTATGATTATGACATACAACCTATGATGCATGCTAACTACAAGCCGGTCTTGCTGAACTCGTACAAAGTACGTCATGGGGCGAATTCGGAAAGGTATGAGCTAGGCTGTACTCAGTCTGCCTTTGAGGTTTGAGTCAATTAAGATTAAGTTTCTATTCACCACAGTAATATCGATATTACGGTCTTCGATCCCCATGAAATCTTTGAGTGCTTACGCTTGGGATCTCTATTGATGGTTGTGTTTGGCATATGTCTCTGCGTCTCTTCCTGTATGCTGAGTCCAGACAGAGTGGAGTGAGCATCATGATAGTAATTCACTTCGTCATTAATGCTGCTGTTGTACGATTCTGCTGCGGCAGTAACGAGAATTAGATCCACCCTCTTTCGTTTAATTACAAAGGTGCGCTTTGCGGCCGTACTACTAGTGATGCGGCCTTTGAGGTCGAGGGCCCAGGCCCGGGTTTCCCAATTTGGAAACACCCGGCGGCCAGCTTTTTCTGCTGCTCTGACCGACACGACCACTTGAACGGTGTAGGCGACATCGTATGATGGATCAATCTTCCGAGAGGCTACTCCTTCAGCTTAAGAATTAGCATCAGAGCACGCGTACCTAGGTTAGTCAGGATCTGATGCTATTGCGGTAGAATTCAATCTCGCACAGCGGCTGAATTTGTGTTCCGTTCACTTATAGCTAGAATGACAGGCCTAAAGGGCCGTACTCAATATCCTTGGCGTTGACTATCTGGATTTCAGGCCATGCCAGGTCCAATACATCCGACTACGCTGTACATTCTAGTAGGTGAACTCATCACAAATTCAGTTATACGGAATTGAATTCTACCACAACAGGCTCGGACCCTGACCAACCTAGGTCCCGGCACACATATATTAAACATTTACGCTCACTCTGGTTACTGTTATCCCTCAAGTTGTCCAATGATCCAATGCGTGACGCAATGCACGCATCATTTGAAACTCAATTCCGCTGTAGACAATGCCACCTTAGGTACAAAATTACCCACCTTATTTGCCATACGAGCAAAACCTAGAATCCCCTTTGAAAACCCTCGCAGTCAACTTCTCGTTAACATGCTCTTCAAGTGCATAGCTGTCTTTGCTGCAGGGATTCCCCTTGGATTGTGGCTTGCCTTCAAGCAAGACATGCAACTCGCAGGGCTTTGGGGTGGTCTCACTGTTGCTCTACTTTATTCGTCGACTCTTGGCATCTGGCTCTGCATTAAAACGGATTGGATATCCGCTACCTTGGCTTAGACGATCGAACTAGGCCTCCCTCAGAACGGGGACAACTTCTGCCTTGGTCAGGAAGTGACCGCGAGGTTATTCAACCGGTTGGTGGTTTGTTTGCTTCTCAGTATCAGGCATCACTCTGACAACTTCTATCCTAGGAATCCATAGCATCTACCGTTCAGGTTGGCGAATCGATGACTGCGAGAACGGTTCATGCCCCGACCCTGCAGACGGTTTAGGATCTTATCTCTATGCAGGCCCTTGGACACCTGAGAGCCTCCTTATGCTTATGGTTACTACCGGAACTTCACTGTGACCATACCGTCTTACCTTACAAAGGGTCCTGCTATCTTTACACTCACGCACTTTTACCTCATTGGGGTACGAGATATTCAATGTCTATCTTCATTCCTAGTCTGGGGCTGATCTTGTAGGCGGATTGGTACCCGTTCCTCGAATTTCGCCTCGCGACGGTGAACATCGTGTAAACGGTGGACACTGACAAGGCTATATCTCGGAAGTGAACCCTGTGGTGTCTCCGAAGTTGATTGGTGCGTTGAGTTTTTCATAGGGACGGGCGCAGCTGCTGACTCGGTGGTGTAGGCATCTGCAGCGTGGTTTCGGCTACGTTGATCACCTGAGCTTTGATGTTGACGCGCTTGGCCCAGGTGTTGCACGTAATGCGGGAGCACGGTAAGCATTTCGATTTTGATTCGGCGTTGCATTGGGTGGGACGGAGTCAGTCATGCTTTTATGACGTAGTGCGCGCCAAAAATACCTTCTTGGATGAAAGAAGGATGGCCTAGAATAGATGCCGGGCTAGATAAGGTAGCCCAAGCGCGTCCACCCAACTCGTGAAACTCCCTATAACTCATCTTTCGTGGCCTTTTTTTTATAGCTCATCCCATGTCGTTCCTACAATATATAGCTGTTTTGGGATTCAGACGCGAACATTGTCGAGAATTTCCTTGAATGCAAGCGTGTCGAATGTAGACAAGGGAGTTGGACTGAGGTAGAGGCTGGTATTCCAATATTAACATTCAAGTTGAGTCTGCGCGTTCACATTGGCATTCAGGCCAGTTCCAATACTCCTCAACACTGCGCCCTTCGCATTACCATGATCAAAAGTATCGTTCAACTATGGGGCTTATATACTTGCTGACTAGCTTCATATACACACACAGCTGCTTCTCCTCGACCCTCCACATTCTACGCTACCACACTCCCCCCCTCCAAGACCATATCACTCATCCGCAACTACTCCCGTCTACCCATTACCCACATTCGCAGTCACAACATCTTCACCGGCTGCATGAATCTCATCAAACCTCTCGACCTTCTTTCATGCACATGCGCATATTGGCACGAAGCGCCGAGAACTGTAGCTTCTTGAGAAGCTGTACAAGAGTTTCGTGAAGGATAGTGTTCGATGCTTCCCGTGTGGACTGCCTTTAGGGAGACAAGTGAGAGTCCAATAGAAGGGTGTGTCCGCACGGTACGAGTCCCGGAGGATTTACCTCCGGGACACTTTACGTGTTCCTTTTTCCTTTCTTGATCCTTATTATCGACTCCATCTTATATCATCCTCGTGTATCAGTCGCTTCTCTCCGTCTCGGACTTGTCGACCTTTCGTACTGTAACTTAATCTCTTTCTCGTACGCAGTCCACCTCAGCGTTGCTTCACCGTCCGCTGAGACTTACTTCGTGTCTAGCTCCCTTCTCACATAATCCAACTTTGAACCAGACACAATATGGTGCCGTATTTCGTCTGCGTCAAAGTTGTGAGCGTTCACGTCAACCTGTTTTTCATCTCTATCTCATACACTGACTCAAGCAGGCTGGCTTGAGACCCGGAGTATAGGATATTGCCCCTATTCATAGGACACTTAGTTCGCACCTCCTTTGTCTTGCGGTACTACTGACGAGTTTCAAAACTTCCCTCTCACACAGTCGCGTCTCCAGCCACCAACTTTTGACAACCTGCGGCAGGGTACCAGTCGCTGTTATCGATGCATAGACTTGCTCATGCCGCTGTTCTCTTTCACACTTCTCCCTGGTATCTATCTAACTTACCGTCTTGGCCTCGACTGCGCGCTGGATACCTTGTGATTTGTTGGGGTGATGGAACAAACACATCGTAGCCGCTCACCGTAAATGACGACGGCAGGACAATCTACCAATTGGATGCATCGACGCTGGAGACCGTCAGAGCTCCCTTCGAAGGGCACACCGAACTTATCACAGGCCTAGCACTTTATGCATTTGACCATGCTCTCCCTGTTAGCGTTTCGACAACACCATCAAGATCTGGGATTACGAGTCACACCAACTTCTTGCTTCCTTCAACGTTCAGAGACCTAGCGCCCTTGTCGTCTCACCCAACTCACGCCATGGCTAGCTTACACGACAAACACCAAAGATGATTACAAGATCTGCATCTGTGATACTCCACCCGACGTCCTTGCTCATGCCAGTGTATGTATTCCCCGCAAACATCTATTGTTCGTATGCTGACATTCTCTTACAAACATGTACATCAAACTTGTCACCAGCATAGCACTTTCATTTGACCATGCTCGTCTTGCTAGCGCTTCCTTTGACAACACCATCAAGCTCTGGGATTGCGAGTCCCGCCAACTCCTCGCTTCCTTCGATGTTCAGAATCCTTTTATCCTTGTTCTCTCACCCGACTCACACCAACTAGCTTATGCGACAAACGCTCACACCAAAGACGATTACAAGATCTACATCTGCGATATCCCACCCGACGATGTCCTTTCTGACGCCAGTGTATGCATTCTCCACAAACCTATCATGATACTATCCATGTGCCAACATTCTCTTACAGACAAGTGCACGCGAAAAGTCACCAGGCAGTCATCTACTGAATGTGCGTTTCTCATCTTTTACTTTTTTCGTTACTCATTTAGCATCATTGCAGTCTGATGCAACTCGTCCTCCTCCTGTTGGGCACCGCAGACCACCGATATTTGCAACACCTATGTCAGGGAGGCCTCCAACTACAATGAACCCAAAGCAACCCATTTTCCTTCGCCTCCACAAACTTCTTCGCTTCTCTCCTCGCATACGCGCAACACGGCTAGATCGAAAGGATCAACCTAGTGATACCTTGGATGTCTGTCTTTCTATCTTGTTTATGTCACAGTTCACTCAACACTCGTGTTGCAGTTCCCTGCTACATCGCCCTTGCCTCCCAATTCCCTTCATAGAGACAGCTCTCCGTCGACTACCTCACCTGGTGGCAGGGCCGTTTTCAATCCCATTCTGTCGTTATCAGACAATGGGAAGAAAAAGGCGCGTGAACCCGAACGAAAAACTGCGCAAGTTGTTGATGTTCCTCTCGGACAAGCTACCTACGTTTGTTTTCTACAATTCTGTTGGATTCGTGAGTTTGACCACTTCATTCGCTAGGCTGATGTTGTTGGTGTGGATGACGGAGAACGACCATTTGTTCTCTTCTTTTGCCTCAGTTGGTTCCAGAAAAGAGAGAAGAAGGTACAACCACGGTCAGTCTATGATGACGAACTCGAGGACGAGAATGTTCTTGATGCGGTTGCCTTGCCTCCTCCCGGGTAAAGTCAATCAATTCGTTCACAATTCATTCACTAACGCAGTATTTTAGCATTCAGCACGGAGAAGTTGATTTGAGAACGATAGTCAGTCGGTCACAGCCTGAAGCAGGAGTGTCTGGCCTTGCGGTTACTTGACCACTTAATATTGTCACATTTTCCTTTGACGGGCAGGTGATTCAATGTAGATATTCCAACTTCGGA